ATCCAAAATTATTTTCCGAAGAGACTGAGTCAGCTTTTGCATCGAACTTGCAGGGAGATCTTGAGCTGTCAATATTGAAAAATTTCTTCTGCGTTTGGGTGATGCCAACTGATATATCTGTTCCCTTGTGGCCCCTGATGCTTATGTACTTTACCTTACGACAATTATCCTTGCCAACCTCTTTGAGAACAGGAACATTTGACAAAGTGGCTTTCAAATAATCTACAAAGTCTACTCCATGCATAGGAAAACCAGTCGTGATTCTCARATGTGTTGAGTGTTGAGAGAGGCGGCTCATTCGACCCAACGACAGTCGGTAAGCTTCCCAATTTGGATGATTTTCTTCAACTGGCTCACTCCTTTTCATCGATTTGTTGCAGAATTCCGTCATGTTTCGGTTCTTGAATGCAAAGGATAGTATCAAGGTCCAGGCAAAGCGTGGCTCTGAGGTGAGATCACAGAATACTGGGTAGGAAGCCTCTCTGCCGGTGTCTGTGATGGTATAGATACCATTCTCCTTTGCTCCATTACGAAGGTAGTCGAGGCACGAAGTGAAGTCCTACAAAAATGTTTTTTCACTCTACCATTGTTGATTTTAAAAATACAGTCAACTCTCTCGTAAGCGACCACCTCGGGATCAGGGAAAAAGTGGTCGTTTACGAGAGATGGTCGCTTACGAGAACGTTTTTTTACAGAGTTTATATGGGAAACTGAACAAAACGGGAAATCTAAAAGGTGGTCGCTTACGAGAGATGGTCGCTTACTAGAGTGGTCGTTCAAAGAGAGTTAACTGTATTCAATAATTTGTCTCAGTCGAGTATATGTAGAGTGCAAGTCACATAAGCATGAAACAATTCTTAACTACGTAGTGCTAAATAAGATTTAGTTATCAACTAACTAAGAATTGAGAACAATGCTACAAAGGAATTTAAATAATTGGCACTGTGTTTATGCTTTGTTGAATTCTTAGTTAGTTGATAACTAAATCTTATTTAGCAATACATATTAAGAATTGTTTCATGCTTATATGACGTGCACTCTACTGTGTCACAAATAAACGACAACTTTCTTTAATAGCATCGTGTAAACTCTCCATGAGATCAAATACTAAATCTTCTAAATTTTTTTATCTGAATGCAATTAAGTTAAGAGGACCGAAAACTTAATATCACCTATGTACCATACCATATGAGGTTATAAAGAGGGTAGGTGRCTATTAMAYTTTTGAGACATGAGAAAACGACCATGAATTGACTGACCTCTGATTGGTCGAAAAAATGAASAAAGCCAGCATCAGCCTTATACGATGCTGGGTTGGTTCGTCTTGTAGCGTTATTCAATTGACAGATGTCRYTGTCACCAGCCCCTCTCGGTTTGTAATTGTAAGATTTRCASTTGTCATGTGATGAACAGAAGAARCTGCAGTCAATTGGTGACGTCACGTCATGTGATGATATCACGTGACCTTGGAGTGACATATCTATGAGTAAGGCAAACAGTCGTCATTGCATAAGCAGTGTAAATGAATTTTAAACATACACGACTTTCCATACATAACGTTCACAAAGCATTGAACCGAGGCGTCAAGGTACAGTGAACATAAAACAAAAGATCTGTGATCATTGTTCCTTGACGCCTCGTTTTCAATGCTTTGTTGGTCGTGGTCACTGAACCTGCGTATGTAAAGTCGAGAATTATTTGATGAATTACAAATTAGAGTTTAAAAAAACACCTTCCCAAGTCACTGATCATATGTGGAAAATATTGGAATACTCCGATTTCGAGTTCTGGTTTGCTCTGTGTTAGCCTCAAAACCAAGCAACATATTCTTTTGTTTCATTGATAGCCCGAGAAAACGCATGGAATTAGAAAAGAAAGACAATGGAATTGATTTAAAATCTCACACTTTTATTCTCACAATTAGGAATGTTTTGCGCACAAATGAGGCTAACACAGAGTATTGGAGAATTCGAAACTGGATTATTGTTACTGAGGGCTGCAATACTGGATATTTTTTAAAGAAGCTAAAAAAATATAAAGAAAAAGCGATCCTTTACCTTTCATTGCCTTCAACGTTCTTTCATTTTGTGGACTAGCTGATGCTGCTGCCTTATAACCAAAAACATAGAAAAGAGAGAGAAAAAGAATGCCAACACGACTAAACATCTTTCTCGCGCTCTGCAAACTACTGTTCATATAAAAAAAACTTTCTTTTCGTATCTTTTAAACAAATTTTAATTAAATATTCAATGAACTGGCAAGTCTCCTGCTGCTAACTGATTAAGCTTTCCTTGCTTGCTTATGAGATAAGGTGACTTAATAATACCTTACACAGCAACCATTGGCGTGATCTGATTCATATGTCAGCCATTGTTGAACACAAAGTCAAATTCAGGACAATTCTATAGGAGATCCCACACGCATTCATAATTAAGTAATTTCATCAAAAAGTCCATTAATTCTTTCTTCATGAAACAGATACAGAAAAGTGTTATGTAACTCACAGGTCGTTCCGAAAATATGAATGATGATTGTTATTCTGATTTCGTGTTGTTGTTTGTTTTTTGTTTGTATTTTTTGTCGACAATGTTGATTACAGCTTTAAGTTGGTGTTTCGTCTAATTTCATTCTACTT